GGGGCGGCTGTCGTGAGAGGGATGGCAGCAGGGTGTTGTCATCAGGGGGATGTCATCAGGGGGATGTCATCAGGGGGATCTCGTCAGGGGATCTCATCAGGGGGATGTCGTCAGAGGGATGTCATCAGGGGGATGTCATCAGGGGGATGTCATCAGGGGGATCTCGTCAGGGGGATCTCATCAGAGGGCTCTCATCAGGGGATCTCATCAGGGCGATCTCATCAGAGGGATCTCGTCAGGGGATGTCATCAGAGGGATCTCATCAGGGGGGTGTCGTCAGAGGGATGTCGTCAGAGGGCTCTCATCAGAGGGATCTCGTCAGGGGGATCTCGTCAGAGGGATGTCGTCAGAGGGATGTCGTCAGAGGGCTCTCGTCAGAGGGATCTCGTCAGAGGGATCTCGTCAGAGGGATGTCGTCAGGGGGATCTCGTCAGAGGGATCTCATCAGGGGGATGTCGTCAGAGGGATGTCGTCAGAGGGATGTCGTCAGAGGGCTCTCGTCAGAGGGATCTCGTCAGAGGGATCTCGTCAGGGGGATGTCGTCAGGGGGATGTCATCAGGGGGATGTCGTCAGGGGGATGTCATCAGGGGGATGTCATCAGGGGGATGTCATCAGGGGGATGTCGTCAGGGGGATCTGGTGAGTGTTTGAAGATTTGTGTCACGGCGTGAATTAGGAGCGCGGGATCGGAAAGCTGAGCTGTGTGTTTTGTTACATAATATCATTACTGTCTCTTCTCTTCTCCCGCAGGCCAGTTCTCCTCCTGTGATTGTAAATACCGACACATTGGAAGCACCAGCATATGTAAGTAATGTCCCTCCTCCTGCACCACCTACCAGAGCCCAGAGTCTGTCCCTCCTCCTGCACCACCTACCAGAGCCCAGAGTCTGTCCCTCCTCCTGCACCACACCTACTGAGCTATCCACCATCCGCACCACCTACCAGAGCCCAGAGTCTGTCCCTCCTCCTGCACCACCTACCAGAGCCCAGAGTCTGTCCCTCCTCCTGCACCACCTACTGAGCTATCCACCATCCGCACCACCTACCAGAGCCCAGAGTCTGTCCCTCCTCCTGCACCACCTACCAGAGCCCTGAGTCTGTCCCTCCTCCTGCACCACACCTACTGAGCTATCCACCATCCGCACCACCTACCAGAGCCCAGAGTCTGTCCCTCCTCCTGCACCACCTACCAGAGCCCTGAGTCTGTCCCTCCTCCTGCACCACACCTACTGAGCTATCCACCATCCGCACCACCTACCAGAGCCCAGAGTCTGTCCCTCCTCCTGCACCACCTACCAGAGCCCTGAGTCTGTCCCTCCTCCTGCACCACACCTACTGAGCTATCCACCATCCGCACCACCTACCAGAGCCCAGAGTCTGTCCCTCCTCCTGCACCACCTACCAGAGCCCAGAGTCTGTCCCTCCTCCTGCACCACACCTACTGAGCTATCCACCATCCGCACCACCTACCAGAGCCCAGAGTCTGTCCCTCCTCCTGCACCACCTACCAGAGCCCAGAGTCTGTCCCTCCTCCTGCACCACACCTACTGAGCTATCCACCATCCGCACCACCTACCAGAGCCCAGAGTCTGTCCCTCCTCCTGCACCACCTACCAGAGCCCAGAGTCTGTCCCTCCTCCTGCACCACACCTACTGGGCTGTCCAGCATCTGCTCCTTCAGGGTGATGCAGATTCAATGCAGAGATTCCCCTCAGTGATGATTGCCACGTTTCCTTTTTCAGGTGAATGGTACAGAGGCAGAAATGGAATATGAAGAGATCACACTGGAGAGGGTGAGATTGTTAGCCGGACTGTCTTCCTGTTTCTCCTTCCATTGCTTCTTCCTCACCTATGTGTTCCTCTGTTTTCAGGGTAACTCAGGATTGGGGTTCAGCATTGCCGGGGGCACAGATAACCCCCATGTAGGAGATGACCCCAGTATTTTCATCACCAAGATCATCCCAGGTGGAGCAGCAGCTCAGGACGGCAGGCTCAGGTAGGTTGCTGGTGTGACGAGGGAAGATCAGGTTCGGGGTATTTCCTACGTTCCCTGTATGTGGTCACGGAGAAGGATGATATTATACCCCACTCCCCTCCCATCATCTACCAGCATTACCCCCAC